TCCTGGTGCAGCTCTGTTTATGGATGCTGGGGTGGTTGCTGGAGTAATTAAGCATCTGGTCCATATGTGTGGTCTTTCTGTATACGCTAGTCTGGAGTTCCCTGTTGTTTTTATGTTCTACCATTATGTCTAGGAAGGGTAGTTGGTTATTGTTCACTTCTTTTGCGAATTTTATTCTGCTGAGGATGTTGTTTATGTGTCAGTGGGTTTCTTTTAGCCTTGAGTGTTTGATAATCACGAAGGTGAACAGTCAGTCCTGATATTGGGGATCACATTGGTGTTCTGTTGATTTGTTTGAATATACAGTTGTTGAAGGTGAAGTGCGCTCAAGGTGCTAAAAAACACAAACAAAGTTTCTGGAGAAACTTAGCAGGTCTGGCAGTATCTGTGAAGGGAAAAACAGAGTTAACGTTTCGGGTCTGGTGACCCTTCCTCAGAACAGTTCTGAGGAAGGGTCACCAGACCTGAAACGTTAACTCTGTTATTTCCTTCACAGATGCTGCCGACCTGCTGAGCTTCTCCAGCAACGTTGTTTTTGTTCCTGATTTACAGCATCCGCTGTTCTTTCGGTTTTTATTTAGTTACAAGGTACTGTTCTTGTTGACGCTGTTGGTGTCGTGGGGTGTCTGTCTTCTTGCTTCATCCAGCAGTGTGGCAATTGTCTCTGGCTAGTTCACCTACATCTTCAACGACCGTATATTCAAACAAATCAATGGAACACCAATGGGATCCCCAGTATCAGAAATGATTGCAGAAGTGGTAATGCAAATGTTAGAATGAACAGTGCCCCCCCACTATACAACCCAAATCCGATGTAGATGACATCTTTGTGATTATCAAACGCACAAGACGAGAAGAAACCCACCAACACATAAACAACATCCTTGCCGGAATAAAATTCACAAAAAGAGGAAGAGAACAATAACCGACAACCCTTCCTGGACATAATGATAGGATATACCAACGGGGAACTCCAGACTGACATATACAGAAGGACCACACATATGGACGAGATACTTAATTAGTCCAGCAACCACCCCAACACCCATAAACAGAGCTGTATCAGGACATTATTCAAACGGGCCACAACACACTGCAGCAACCTGGACTTGTGCAAAGCAGAACAGGAGCACTTATACGGAGTTTTAAAAAGGAATGGATACCCAAAAAGCACAATCCGTCATTACTTCTCTGATAGACCACAACAAGAAGACGCAACATGGCCAGACACACTAGTCACCCTCCCATACATCAGAGATGACCACACGACTACTCAATAGACCCCTAGGTAGCAGGGTAGCCCACAAACCAACAACTACCCCACGACAGCTACTGACGAATGTAAAGGATCCCATACCCACAACCAGTAAAACTAACGTAATATACAAAGTACCATGCAAGGGCTGTGAAAAACATTACATAGGCCAAACTGGGAGAAAACTGACAGTAGGGATACACGAACACCAACTAGCCACCAAGAGATACGACCGATTCTTATTGGTCCTGATACACACAGACAAAGGACACAAATTTGACTGGGACAACACATCCATAATAGCACGAGCCATACAGAGATATGCCAGGGAATTCCTGGAGGCCTGGCATTCCAACCGGAACTCCATCAATAAACACATTGAACTGGACCCTATATACAAACCACTGAAAAACAGAACCGGAAATAATGCCAACCACCCCAGCAAAGTGAGACGTATAAATTACAAGCGGGACAGAACACCAACACGTCACTGGAGGCGCACTGATGATGTTACCTAGCAGGGTGATGAAACATCTGCAACCAAACACACCGGCTCAGCGAGCAAGTCTACGACGTCATCCACGGCTACAAATCTTCTCAAACACTTGCAGTACAATTCGAGACAACAAGGTGCAGGGCTGGATGAACACAGCAGGCCAAGCAGCATCATAGGAGCAGAGAGGCTGACGTTTCGGGCCTAGACCCTTCATCAGAAAAGGGGGAGGGGAAGGGGAAGGGGGTTCTGAAATAAATAGGGAGAGAGTGGGAGGCGGATAGAAGAGGGATAGAGGAGAGGATAGGTGGAGAGGAAACAAACAGGTCGAAGAGGCGGGGATGGAGCCAGTAAAGGTGAGTGTAGGTAGGGAGTTAGGAAGGGGATAGGTCAGTCCAGGGAGGATGGACAGGTCAAGGGGGCGGGATGAGGTTGGTCGGTAGGAGATGGAGGTGCGGCTTGAGGTGGGAGGAGGGGATAGGTGGGAGGAAGAACAGGTTAGGGAGGCAGGGATGAGCTGGCCTGGTTTTGGGATGCGGTAGGGGGAGGGGAGATTTTGAAACTTGTGAAATCCCACCGACTCCCACAGCTACCTAGAATACTCCTCCTCCCACCCACCTTCCTGCAAAAATGCTATCCCCTATTCCCAATTCCTTCGCCTCTGCCGCATCTGCTCCCAGGATGAGGCATTCCACTCCCGTACATCTCAGTTGTCCTCGTTTTTCAAGGACCGTAACTTCCCCCCCTCGGTGGTCGAGAACGCCCTCAACCGTGTCTCCCACATCTCCCGCACCTCATCCCTCACACCCCGTCCACGCAATAAGAACCAAAAAAGAATCCCCCTTGTCCTCACGTACCACCCCACCAACCTCCGGATCCAACGCATCATCCTCCGACACTTCCGCCATCTGCAATCCGACCCCACCATCAAAGACATCTTTCCCTCCCCACCCTTATCTGCTTTCCGGAGGGACCACTCTCTCCGTGACTCCCTTGTCCACTCCACACTCCCCTCCAGCTCCACCACACCCGGCACTTTTCCCTGCAACCGCAGGAAGTGCTACACCTGCCCCCATACCTCCTTCCTCACCCCCATCCCAGGCCCCAAGAAGACTTTCCACATCAAGCAGATGTTCACCTGCACATCTGCCAATGTGGTATACTGCATCCGCTGTACCCGGTGTGGCTTCCTCTACATCGGGGAAACCAAGCGGAGACTCGGGGACCGCTTTGCAGAACACCTACGCTCGGTTCGCAACAAACAACTGCACCTCCCAGTCGCGAACCATTTCAACTCCCCCTCCCATTCCTCAGACGACATGTCCATCCTGGGCCTCCTGCAGTGCCACAACGATACCACCCGAAGGTTGCAGGAACAGCAACTCATATTCTGCTTGGGAACCCTGCAGCCCAATGGTATCAATGTGGATTTCACAAGTTTCGAAATCTCCCCTCCCCCTACCGCATCCCAAAACCAGTCCAGCTCGTCCCTGCCTCCCTAACCTGTTCTTCCTCCCACCTATCCCCTCCTCCCACCTCAAGCCGCACCTCCATCTCCTACCGACCAACCTCATCCCGCCCCCTTGACCTGTCTGTCCTCCCTGGACTGACCTATCCCCTTCCTCACTCCCTACCTACACTCACCTTTACTGGCTCCATCCCCGCCTCTTCGACCTGTTTGTTTCCTCTCCACCTATCCTCTCTTCTATCCGCCTCCCACTCTCTCCCTATTTATTTCAGAACCCCCTTCCCCTCCCCCTTTTCTGATGAAGGGTCTAGGCCCGAAATGTCAGCCTCTCTGCTCCTATGATGCTGCTTGGCCTGCTGTGTTCATCCAGCCCTGCACCTTGTTGTCTCGGATTCTCCAGCATCTGCAGTCCCTACTATCTCTGATGCAGTACAATTCTGTTGCTGCTGATGGCCCACAGTGCATTATGGATGCCCAGTCTTGAGTTGCTAGATCTGTTCAAAGTCTGTCCCACTTAATACACTGATCATGCCAAACAAGGCAGGATGCTGTCTCCCTGAAGACTGTGCAATGATTACTGTCACCAATACTGTCATCATCAGATGCATCTGTAGCTGGCAGATCGGTAAGGATGATGTGGAGATCATCCTGACTCCAGCCATTCCCAAATAGCTGATTATGTCCCACCCTCTGCTCTAGTATTGTATGCTATCTCAATGCATTGTTCTGGGACCCTCTGAGCACAGTAATCTCCATTGACTTGTCTGTGGCTTGCTGACAATGATGCCGTGCCAAATGGCATGGTAAGATAGCCGTAACATAAGCCTGGCATCTCTGGCTGAGTGGAGGGGTAGGAATGCAAACAGGTAAGGCAATACAAGACAGTATTGTCATGAGCATCCAAGTTAGCTCAGGGTAAGTGAGCACTATGACAGTGATGCAATCTGGTGCAGTCCATGAGCTCCAAACATCATCCCACCCAGACCCACTCCCCCGTCCTATCCCTGCAATCTTGCGTTTCCCATGGCTAACCCATCTTTGGATTGTGGGATGAAACTGGAGCACCCAGAGAAAACTCCACACAGACAGTTGCCAGAGGGTGGGATTGAACCTGGGTTCCTGGAACTATGAGGGAGCAGTACTAACCACTGAGCTATTGTGCTGCGTTGGTGGCTAGAGGCTGGCACATATTGATGCCAATGTCCATGGACATGGGAGTGTTTGGCTGATGCCCATGGAATGTGCCCTGAGATGTTGGTGTCTAGTGTCCAACATGGAGGTTTGTTGGAGCAAGCTGCATGTTAAATTCACCATGTACTTGCTCTTTTTTCCGTGTTGTGTTCTCGATGTCTTCTATCTTGTTTGTAAGATCGGAAGTTGAATACTAATGAAGCAGGTTGGACAATTAACAAGCCCTTCAACAACCAATAATCCCCTTTAATTGTCACCTGACTTTTGTCTAGTGAGCAACTCACCATGCCGCTTGTCAAAAGCATAAATGATGGAGTGAGATGCTTCTGACATCAGGATCAATCTTGCTAGACTTCTTGTCTTTCTGTCACTAATCCCACTAGAGCTCACATCACCCAGACTCCAATAAGATTCCACCCTTTGGGTTCTTATAGCTTGCTTGTTAAATGCACTTTTTAGTCTTACTGAGTCATTTGATTAGGAAGGCCCCCTGGTTTGTACGGAGACTTGATTTGAAGAGGGTAGTTTAAACATTTTAGTTTTTAAGATGTAAACAAGCTAATGACTTGACTATTAAAATGTGATCTCTCTAGATTCTCCAGTGGAAAGATTGAAGAGGCTACGTCCTTTGAAAGCATTTGCATTTTACCAACTGGTTTGTATATTGCTGTGCAAGTCTTTGAATGTTAATTGGGAAGGGAAGGGACAACAAAGATAATATTTCCAGATTTGGAGGTTTATCTCGGCTGACCAGTAGAAGGCTCTGTGCATAATATCGAAGCAAGAGAGCAGGTACCTGTAGTAATAATGTTGAACATGTTGAACTTTCAGAAATTACTAGTGTTAATTATGCATTGTCAGCTCTTAGCTGTTTTCCCAGGGAGTAACAGTTGGAGAATCCAGGCTCCTCCTTTATGAACTGTTTTACTTCCAGTGGTTTTTCCTCTGCATTCATAGGATTGTGGAATTAACCCTTGTGTTTAATGGTTACTGACTTTTAATTAATTTTAAAACACAATATTTTTCCCAGATAAGAAATGTGATACAACTTCAGGACATCTGGAAGGGTACGGTGGTGATGTGAATAGGGGAAACCTGTAAGTATCTGTGTAACTATGGACTTAAAATTAGCAACAACGAAGCCAGCCAATTTAGCAAATGAACAATTCTATAGACTATGCTGCCTTGTAAATGTAAAAACCTAAAAACTCAATACGCTATTACTTAAGGGATTCTCAACCTTTTAGCTTCTTGGCCCCCTTTGTTTAAAAATAATTACAGTCCTGTAACTTGTGGTTTTGTTTTCAGTATAAAAATCAGTTATACAAAAATGAAAAAAGCATTGCTTATTCTCATGCTTAGTTATTTAAATTTTGGAGGGTTTCAAAAATTCAACGTGCAGCAGTTGTGCACAAATGACACACTGCAGTTAACGTATACCTTCACTTTAAGTACAAATTAACTCTAAAAATTCAAGTTGTGGTCACGTTTCCTTGATTTTTCATTGATAGTAGTGGCTTTATGTTGTTACTCACACTTTCACCTCCTTGGTATTTTCTGGCCTTCATGGTTGAACTTGATGAAAGTTCTCTTTCATTGCTTTATGGGTTTTGTTTCTTTCAAACGGCTGCGGGATATTGACATTTACAGGGTGGGGACAGTCACTGATCACCATGGCCTCCGAAAGGTGACTGGAAGGACTTCGAAAGAAATCAACAGAATACAAAAAACTCAGATGGTCAAAAAGGTGGGTCAGGGAAAACAGGCTGGCAAATTGTGCAACTTCTCAGCCCTTTGTTTTGCTCAGATATGGGAGGGACCACAATGCCAGAGTGGAGATCCTGAGCCCAACCAGGCCACACTTAACACAGTGGAAATATATTGTCTTATGAGATGAAAGGCTGTAATATCAATGTTGCCGCTGTCACTGAAGGCCACCTCACTGCATAAGGTCAGCCTAGACAGGAAAAAGGCAAATAAACTCTTTGTAAAGGGAAACCAGAGGAAGGTTGTTGTATCCATGGAGTTGCCTTCACTATCAAAGACAGAATCACAGAACTACTTAAGAGCTTCCAGTTGATATTAATGAGTGGGTGTGCTCGGCCACTAAACTGAATGCAATCAATCACCACAGTTTGTACTGACACTTGTACAAAGCATTCTCCTGCCAAAACCAAAAGCCCTTGTGTAGATCTGCATTCTGTACTGATTGCCACCTCAAAACAAGGCAAGTTGTTTCTATTGATAGATTTTGATGCCAGAGTCGAATGCAACTATACCATCTGGAAGGACACTTAAGAATAAACGTATGAACAAGGGACGAGAGTAGGCCGTTTGGCTCTTGAGGCCTCCTCTGCCATTCACTAATTTCATGGCTGATCTGATTTTAACCTCAACTCTACCTTTGTGCACATTCCCAATAACCTTTCATGCCCTGGAGTGGGGGAAATTAAAATGTCAATGATCCTTTCCTGCTCAATAAAGGTGCACTGAACATGACCTCACCTTCACACAGTGTTATATTTCTGATTGTCTTTTGGTTCCCAAATTGTTGTAATATGATGTACTGGCCCAATTATGGGGTGATGCCCAGTTGATGTTAGTACCAGACAGGTCAGAGCCCTGACACTAACCTGGCCAGATAAATCATAGTTTATTTTTTGACCAAAGTGATTTTTTTTTACTAAAACATAAGCACGCAATGTTACAATCTTTATTTTAACATAAAACAAAACAAATGGTTATTACAACAGAAATGAAAATTGACATGAAAAACTCAGTATTCCCTTAAGCAGAATGATAAGCTTTTAAACATGACAGAAATAACCCAAACATCCTTTACAGGCAGAACAAACAACAGCTTTGCATTGGAATCAGAGGTACAGCTTACAAACAATGTTCTTAGAATTGCAACATCTAATGCTATATCTCTAGCAAGATCCAATTCAGCTCATTTCCAAGGGAGAGAGACTGTTTTAATACTGATGGGCGTACAATAATTAAAATTTCAACTATCTGCTGGAACTGTAGATAGCTCTTAATTATTATTATCCACCTGACTTAGCTTCCTTGCAGTATTATACTATCCCTGGCATAGCTTCAATTTTTTAAAGCTAAAATTTAAAATAAATGAACTTCTACCACGCTAACACTTCAATTTGGGATTATTAATAACTTATTATCCTAAGAATCTCATTACTTTAAACTCATTTTCTTAGGAACATTGCTTAATACATGTTACTCCATTAAAAGGTTTCTTAGTACTTCAGACCTTGATACATGCTTATCTGTTGAATAACTTAACACAAAGATTGACTGAAAATGAAAGTCAGACTCCAGAAAATTCCACCCCCCCAAGCCATATGAGTAGTTCTCTTCCACTTCTGGACTACTTCTGTTTGCTTGGAATTATGGGTATTGTAGGTTTTAAAAGCTAATTGTTAACTATGCGCCCAAAAACACCTGTGTATTTAATTTAGAATTCCAAGAACCCAAAATTGCAGTAAACAATATCAAAATACATATCTATCCCACAGTTTCATCACAGTTGATATAATTATGCTTTTAAGTTTGAAATTGAACTTGTGCTGTTGACACTCGCTCTGCATCACAAACCAGACATCCAGCTAGCTACTTACATCTGAGCTGCATTTTTCAGTCTTGAATGCTACATTGTTAATGGTCTCACCTAATTCCTGCCTGAGGCAATGAAATTCATAAGGATGGATTGGTAATTTGATGTTGGCTTTAGATTGATGCTCAGTCATTCAAAATTTTGTCTGGATTTCTGTTGTCTTCTTCAGCTGTTAAAATAACTTTAACTCTTCATCTTTCATTCACAGGATAGATCTGACCCTTTTCGTTGCTAGTGCCTTTAATAAATGTACTTGAAATAACTCCACAGAGGCCAGAACCCCATTACCAAGTCATCCACTATTTACACATGATAAGTCCTTGACGCTGATCAAGCTCCCTCAGAACCAGTTCCCAATGAGCAGGATATCTGACACTTCTGTTCTTATCTGTCAGCCACAGCTCTCTGACTGTGGCGGTTAATCTGCTCCAAATCAGGAAACTCATTCTGTGAAGTCCATCTGGCTGACCTCATTACAATCACTACATTCCTCCCCCTCTGAGTCCGAGGAGATAGGCTGGTTCTTTTTTTTTGTAGCTTCTCCTGAGGCGTTTTAGCACCAGGTCAGATTCCTCTACCTCTGCCTCTGATACAAGCAGCATATAATATACAGTAGTTTGCCTCTTGCACCTGGAGCGTCTTGGAAGAAATTCATTCTCCTCTTCAGGCAGCAAAGATGTCGAGGTGGCGACATCTGGTGTCTATCTCAGATTCTGAGGTATCTTCAACGCTTGCTGGAGAATCTACAGGTTCTGGAACAGTTGGAAAGGCTGTCGAGGAGCCAGGCATGTTTTGCTCCTGTACCGTTTGCGAGTTTACAGCTTTCAAGTGGTCTATGTGCTTGTTCAGGACTGGTATACCTTCCTGACATTCATGTGTCACTGGACCTGACCTCACGTCCACCATGCTTCTTTCCCATTCAGGCCATTCCCATGGTTCCGACACCAAACTTTATCCCCTGAAGTAAACTGTCTCTCTCTTGCTTAGCGGAGTCTTATGTCCAGCATTGGCATTCCTGATGTCGTTTCACTGTACCCCACTCGGGTCCAGGAAGAGCAGATTTATCCTGATGTGGAGTCTTTTCCCCGTTGGCAACTCTGCTGGAGCTGTCCCTGTCGTTGCATGAGGGGTGGTCCTATAATCAAATAGGAACTGGGACAGTTTGGTATCTAGTGAAGCTGTAGGCTGTTCCTTTAAGCTTGCCTTCAAAGTTTCTGTTACTTTTTCTGCCAGACCATTGGATAATGGATGGTATGAAGCTGTCCTTATCTGTCCAATACTATTTGTCTTTAGGAAATACTGGTTAAAAATGACTCATTATCTATGACCAACACTTCCGGGATTCGTGTATTATAAAAGATACATGCAGTTTTTCTATTGCGTCCCTGTGATGAATGAACTATGTGCACGTCCAGCCACTTTGAGTGAGTGTCCACAATAATTAAGAACATTGAGCCAATGAAATGACATGTAATTGAGTCTAGGGTTTACCTGGCAACTCCCACGAATGTGGTGGAGCTGGTGGCAGTAATATTTGACTTGTTGGCACATGGGCGCTGCCCCACCAACGCAGCTATGTCTGCATCCAGTCCTAGCCACTAGACATAACTTCTTGCCAACATCTTCATGTTGGAAACCCCTCGATGACCCTGGTGGGGCTCAGCCAATATCGGGTGGTGATCTTTGCTCGGAACACTCGTTCTTGCTCCCCATAATAATATGCTGTCGTCTACTGTGATCTGGTCTCTTCAGGTCCACAAAGGTTTCAATTCTGGTTGTGACAGCCCTTTGGTTTCTCCATCACTACTAGCTTTTTCAGTTTCGCCAGACTGGATCTTTCTGTGTTCACAATCTGATATTATCAGCTGTGACTGGAAGTGCATCCAGAAAATTTAAAACCATTATGGACTGTTCCAGTGGAATACCATCAGTGATATATCTGCCAGTGGGAGGCAGCTCAAGGTATCTGCATTTGCCACTTGGCTTCTCAGATGGTGTTCCAACTTGTAATTATACGTACTTATTATCAGAACTCACTGCTGAATTCAGTGATTGGCCTCACTTCATCTTCCAACAGCTGTAACCTGGTCTAGATGACTCTGTCCCAAATTGGTCACTTGATGCCTGGAACATAAATTTTTCCCTTCTAAGGCGTAAGCCTGCCATTGAGAACCATTTAAGCACTATATCCAAGTTCTTCAAATGCTCTTTATTGGTCATCCCGGTTATTAGCATGTCACCCAGATAAATGTCAACCTGACGTAGACCTTGTAAAAGATTCTACTTTGTCTACTGGAAAAGGGCAGGCACCCCAAATGGCATTCTTGTATATTGATAGAAACCCTTATGGGTTTTAATTGTGGCATATTTCTGGGACTCCTCATCTAGTCACAATTGCAGGTACGCATGGCCGATGTCCAGCTTCGTGAAGGACAGTTCCCCTGCCAGTTTTGTGTGCAAGTTCACTATGCAAAGAATTGAATATTTATCCAGCTGCGAGAAGTGATTTACCATTTGTTTGAAATCCTCATAAAGGTGAACCGACCCATCAGGCTTCACAATCGGGACGGCCAATGTTGCCCGTTCCACACACTGTACTGGTTTGATGATTCCTTTGCTTTCCAGCTTTCTGATTTCTGCCTCTACTTTTGCACGTAAGGCAAATGGCACTGGGTGGACCTTGCAGAAATGTGAAATTGGTTCCTGGTCAACTTGCAAGGTGGCCTTGGCTTCTTTGATGATCCCAGACCCTCCTGAAAATGTTCTCTATTCAATTAGGACTTCACTCAGGCAGCCATTTTCTAATTGAAAAGTGTTGAGCCCATCTAGGTGAATCTTTCTTGACCAGTTTCACCCCATTAAGCTTGGGCCTGAGCCTTTTAGTACTATCAGTGGTAATTGAACCAGCTGTTTCTCACAAGAGACAGGAACCAAAGTCGTACCCTTAATCTGTAAAGGTTGCCCAGTATGAGTTCCCAGTCTAGCCCAGGTCTCGCACAAATTTAATGGTTGGAGCCCAGAGTGAATTTTGTTAAAGACTGGGTCTGCAATCACTGAAACGGCCATGCTGGTATTGACCTCCTATTAGAACCGGATGACAATTTAACTAGACAGTTATTTTGATTGGTATTGATTTGGATATTGCTATGCAATTCAACTGTTCCAAACCAGGTATCGATGGACTTTCCAGGATATGCAATCTCCTGGATGCCGGCCTATGAGTTCTCTTATTCAGTTTAGGTCTAGTGGGACTGTTTGTAGTTGCTGCTGGTATGAGGACTCCAGACAGCAATGATTTGCTGGCCTGGATCCTGAAGAAAATTTTAACAGTTTAGTTGAGGGTTGGCTTTTTTGGGGGGGTGGTTTTGCTGTGGGCTGCCCTATGTTCAAGCTATGTCCTTAGCATTTGGTGCTTTACTACACACGAGTATGTAATGAGTTCACTCTGGATAGGTGGGCAGCAGTATCTGTTTGCTGGTGGGATGTTTCAGGTTCCAACTTCCAGGCACCATATTTAAAACCCATCCAAACGCCTCTTGCAACCAAGGAATATTGCTCAACCTCTGCTTGTTACCCCACCTACCCTGGAGATGCTAGAGACTTGGCAGAAAATAATGCCACAGTTCAACATCTCTACACAGGTTCTCTTGAAAGTTGTCTAGGAGACGAGAGAAGTATTTTTCTCTGGGGAAGACAACAGGAGGTCATTCCGAGTGTTGATTAAAGTGTAGACAAAGGTGGCTGCAGAGGTTAACCTTCATTAATGGCACAGCAGATTTTGGTGCTACAAGGTGATAAATGATCTGCACTATGCTAGCCTGTGTGTCACTGTCTGTTTTATACTTCATGCCCATATGAGTGGAGCTAGCATTGTAATCTCGTTACTGCAAGAATTGTCACTTAAATGTTTGGGTACCAGGCATCCCTGTCCGATGTAATCAACGTCAGTCCCTTTGTTAAAACTAACAATATAACACTATTTCTGCCATGATGCAACTGGCCCACGCCCATCTGACAGGTTTCATGCATTAAACAAAAGGAGCAACAATATTCAGCAGCTCACATACCAGCTCGTAGATCTTTCATCACAACTAGATGAATGTGCATATGCTACTGAGATAGTCATAACGGAGTAGGCAGTGTCTAGGCTCTGCTCGGGGCTCACCATTTAAGTTTGCCTTTTTTTTTTCCCTTTTCTCATTCTATTTTAAAACTTTTTAAAACTTACCTTGAGGAGAGTGTGGCAGTGACAATATTGGAACGTCACAACAGCTAAGAGCCTGGAGCAGGATGGTTGGTGAGCCAGAGTGGAATGGGATAGTCAGCGGGCCTGGAACGGCGCAGCTTGCAGTTGTTGCGCTCAGAATGAAGCAGACCGGTCAGCGGGCTGGGGCCCTGGAGTGGGGCAGCTGGTGTTTGGTGGGCTAGGGCCTGTTGCGGCCATCCTGTCACAGATGGCAGTCGACAGCTTATGAGCCTGGCTGGTGTCGGCCCAGCATGGGGGAGAGCGAGACCGTGTGTGGAAAGTCCCCAGTGCGGAGCAATTGCAGGCAATAGAAGGACTGTAAAGTTTATTTTTAACTTTATTTCTTTATTTTCTTAATTTAGACTATGAAGAGCTGTAATGTAGAACTTTTAGCATTATTCTTTATTTCTGTATTTTTGTACCTAATCTATTTTAGTGCCTAAGATTTGTAACTAGGTACTTTGTACTTAAGGTGGCACCAGGTGTGGCTGCGTTGTACACCTTTCACTGTACTCCTGTACTTTTGTACTTGAGTACATGTGGCAATAAAACCTAATTCTGATTCTTTGAAGGTTCGGTGCAGACTCGATGGGCCAAATTCGCTATTATCTGCACTGTACGGATTCTGTCATTAAACCTTTTAGATTTGCTTCAAGCCTAGCTCTTTGATGATAATGAACCATCTTTCAATCAGAACTTGATAACTTCTAACATCCACCATACTACACATAATGTACATGAACAAGCACAGCGCTGGGGACTTATTTCTTGCAAGCACAGTACTCACGTACCATGCTAACATCTTTTATTGCTTCTTTCCTGCAGGAAAGTAGGGTGTATAACTGGTGCACACGTGCTCAGATGAGGGATGGTGTGCCTAACATAAATATCTTCAGTCTCTTCAAGGAACAGGTGCTAAGATGGCAGGAGATCAAGGGGAGTGTGCCAGTGATTAAAGGGATTTTGAATAGCTACAGTCATTTAGTGAAAATGCCTCCAAGCAGTTACTCTCAGCAGTGCATCAAGCACTAATGTCCATTTAAAACCTTGGTGAAGGGTGGTGGCTAGCCAAACATTAACAAATTTTTGTCTTGTTTTAAGCAACTAATGAATCACACTCCCAAATCCGAATGAAACTGCCAGAGCCTCCATTACCAGGCTCATCTCTACCAGCAAATCACAGCACACCTCTGAGGATGATCAGTGGCAAGCCTCAGAGAATTTACCTTCAAGGTCTTCCTCCCTACCCGCCATCAGCACAGAGACATTCACCTCAGGTAATCTATCTAAAGTAAGCTCAAGGTCACATTCTGGTCAGCTCAGCAGTGAAACAGGCTCACAACTGGACAAAGAAGAAACAGCTGAGGTCTCTGACACTGGGGGCAACTGCTGGAGAACAGGCCTCTGTTAAATATAATGTAGGTGATGAGCCTCTGAATATAGACATTAAGGAGCTGACAGTAATGTAGAGACAAACGGGAACGTTTGCAGAAGTGCCAGAGATCATCACCAGACTAGAGCGAAAGGAAAATGATCAGCCCAAGTTCTGCCTGATGTCTCTTTAAAAATAACAGTTTGCCCATTTTAAGACTGAGATGAAAATATTTTTCACTGAATATCATGAGTCTTTGGAACTCTCTTCCTCAAAAGGTGGGTGTGACAATGCTGCAACATTGAGGTATGTTTTGTCCTGTTTTGTTTTTTTTTGGAGATAGAGTATGGGGGTCAGGTGTTGAACAGTCTATGAGAAGATAAACTACTTGTGAGGCCTTTTTTTAAAATTCGAATGATACAAGAACTTTGAGTGGCTGTGGTCAAGTTCTCACAGATCCAGGATTTTTAGTTAGCTTGCAAAAGTTGTTGCTGGGGTCTCGGCAGTGAATCTATCCTAACTGCTACACACTTTCTGTCTGGGGAGCTACTGCATGTATCTCTTTCTTGCTGATAGGTTTGCACGTGAGACAATCTGTTTTTCTGAATTTGATTTTTCTTTAATCAAGGGTGTATTTGTGGTTTATTATAATATCGGAACAGTTAATTAGTTGTAGTTACTGTATCTATCATTCTGTTAAGCATTCCAAAAGAGTTAATGATCATGATCATGTTAAGTGGTGGAGCAGGCTTGAAATACTGAATTTCCTGCTCCCACTCCCAATTCCTATGTCCTATGTTCCTACAAACTATGATAATGGAAACTTTGTCTTTGAAATGAGTTTTACATTTTACTTTTTTTTCAAAGAGAGACAACTGAGCTGATAAATGACATCGAGTGTCTGGAATACACAAACAAGAAGTTGGTGGATCAAAATGCAAAACTACAAAGATCAATAGAGGGATTTGAAGAAGCAAATGTACGTCTGACTGAGGAAATCTTTGAACTGAAAAGTAAACTCAAAAGGTAGCTGAAATAGAATGGCTATAAGAAAACCTATGCTATGCAGGTGGAACAAGTCCCCTGCCTAATGTCAGAAACTATACAATATGTCATCAAAATTGTAAATGTTTGTGTTATTTTAAAATGCAGACTTTACTATAAAGAAACCTGATTTTAATAATTTCATTGGCAGATGCAAAATGTTTTAATGGCAATCAGCCTTTTCTTATTAAGTTTTCTTACTAAAGGCAGGTCCGACCCACAGTGCCACGACCTTCACAGGTAGGGCAAGGAGGCAGGTCTCAAATTCACCTCTCTGGAACAGCATCAAACCCTGTTCTATTGGTCATTCAGCCAATGGAGCCAACCTGCTGACCCCTTTCACCCCTTTCACCCCCCTCCCCTCAAAAAAAGAAGTTTGAATTGCTGTAATAAACATACACACACACTTACATGCATTTTGTAGTCTGGAATTGTGGATAGTGATGGTGGGGAGCTCCAATCTCTTTCCATCATGCTGAGCAGGAATCTCTTGCCACCTGCCATTGATATATGTTGGAATAATTTATAAATGCATCTTCCTTGGCAAATCAATTCTGAACAGGGACTTGAATGAACTGGCTCTAGAGGCAGCATTGCTACTACAACTACAAAACATCCAACAGGAGTAGACCATTCAGCTCGTCGAGCCTGCTGTGCCATTCACTTAAATCATGGCTAATCAGCTACCTTAAAGCACTTTTCCACACTGTCTCCATATCTCTTGATGTCATTAGTCTCCAGAAATCTGTCAATTTTTATCTTGAACATGCTTAATAATTGAGCATCCACAAATAACTGGAGTAGAAAATCCCAAAGCTTCACCACCATCTGTATGAAGAAATTCCTTGTCTTGATCTTAAATAGCCTGTCCCTTATTTTAAGGCTGTGTCCCTGGTTTTAGACTCACCAACCAGGGGAAACATCTAAGTACACTCTGTTGTGCCTTGTAAGAATTTCAAATGAGTTCATCTCTCTTTGAAGCTCTAGGGAAAACAGTCACAGTTTCCTTAATTTCTCCACAGATCACAAGCTTGCCGTCTCAGGAATTAATCTAATGAACTTCCATTGCATTCCCTCTGAGGCAAGTATATCTCCTTAAATAAGGGGACCAAAATTGTAACAGTATCTAGGTGACATCTCATCAAGCCTCTACGACTGCAGCAAGACTTTTTTACTCCAAATACTATCCCTAATTTCTTGTGTAAAACAATATGTACCATGTGATCTATCACAATGCCTTTGAGAATGAATAAGAAATAGACAGTACAATTTAAACTGGAGAAAAATGTCTTCTCAAATTCCCTTGTGAATATATATCGCATTTGGCTTCCTAATTGCTTGCTGTACCTGCGTATTAACTTTCAGTGACTCTTGCGCAAGGACACCCAGGTTCCTTTGGACCCCTGCACTACTCAACCTCTCACCATTTAAGACATACACTGCCTTATAATTTTTTTTCCAGCAAAATGATTCATTTTACATTTATTCACACAATATTCCATCTGATATGTTCTAATTCATTAAGAAAGTCTATCCAATTTAGCATCCTCTGCTCAGCCCTGTAACACAAACCGGGAATTGTTCGCAGTGACATAAATTCAACAAGCTGAGGATAAATGAAAGATAGCCAACTATAATCTGAATGACATATTGTATGTCATTGTGCAAGAGTCACATTTTTGAGACCAATTTTGTAAGCAAAGATCACTGGATTGATTTTTACATGGGTATTGATTTTGAGTGGTTAACTTGTGCTTGATTTTGGTCCAAGCTAAATCCAACAGAAGACAGTTGCAATGAAATAAAGCAAAAACAATCTCACTAGTGGATCATGTTAACTATTAACATTTATGCATTTTCATAGATTCCCTACAGTGTGGAAACAGGCCCTTTGGCCCAACAAGTCCACACCGACCCTCAGGACATCCTACTCAGACCCATCCCCCTATAACCCACCAAACCTATATGTCCGTGAACCCCTATGGGCAATTTAGCATGACCAATCCACCTAGCCTGAATATCTTTTGACTGTGGGAGGAAACCCATACAGACATGGGGAGAATGTGCACACTCCACACAGACAGTCGCCCAAGGTTGTAATTGAACCCGGGTCCCTGGAGCTGTAAGGCAGCAGTGCTAACCACTGAGCCCCATAATATTGTAAGAATTTAATGACAGCACATAATGTTGAAATTATTTAAAATCATTCCAATCACAATCTAAATCATTAAACAATATGTCCCAGCAGGCTGGTTATATTATATCATCATGTATTTCTCACCTTCAATATCGTTGCTAGTAACTTCAGTTTATCTTTCCACTAGTAATCGGCCTTAAAAGTGTCAAACACATTTAATTTTGGAGATTATTTTTCATACAAGTTTAGGATCTACTTCTTGCAACCTCCCTCATCCATCTGGCCTTTCTCGTGAATGTAGATAATGATACCTTTCTGTAGGGAGAGCTTTTTCCTTGATCATCAAATTTGGCTTTCACTGTGTTTTGTCCATCGTACAAGATGGAACCACCATGAACCATGTCCTCCCGTGTCTAGCCTTCTTTGCAAGGATGCTTTTTTTTTTTTTGCATTAGTTTTGGGAACAGTATTTTTTGTACTTGTAGTTCAATTTTCATTGGTACTTCATGCATGTCTCCAATCCAGGTCGGTCTGCTCTTGATGTCAGATGACAAATCGGTGGATGATATTGTGAACATGTTATTTTCTGCAGAATAAAAGTGATTTTACATGGAGCTTTGTACTGCCCAATACTTGTCTTTATTCTGTAATATCATCTAGCTTTGCTTCACTGAGGACAAAGTGCCATATGACCCGTGGGTGATAGTATGACTATTTTGGTGTTGCTTGTTAACTTATTCTGACACATTTTTCTTGAGTTGAAATCGAATTGTGTATTTGTTATTCTCAAAAGCATTGTATTAGATCACGAGGTATATATTGTTTTACAACAGAAATTATTGATAGTATTAGATGTATGAAGATCTGTATCTGTACCTAGGTACCTTTGCACCTAAGATGGCGCTATAATGCAGCGACTGTAAACTTTTCGCTGTACTCATTTGAGTACATGTGATAATAAAGCTAATTCAATTCAATTAAATTCAATTCTACGACTGTGTGCAGAGAAAAAGGTGAGCGAAGGTGAATGTGGGTCCCGTACTGTCAGAAGTGAGGGCCATTATAATGGGAATCAAACAAATGGCAGAAGAATTGAACACACATTTTGGTTTTGTCTTCACAAAAGAAGACATGCACAATTACCCAGAAATGTTAGGAACCAAGAATCTAATGAGCGGGAAGAATTAAAGAAAATCTGTATTAGTGGAAAAATAGTGCGAAAGAAATGAATGGGCTTAAAGGCTGACAAATCCCAAGGGCCTGATAATCTGTATCCAGGAATTTTAAAAGGAAGTGGCCTAGGAATTGTGGATGCATTGTTGGTTCTCTTCCAAAATTCTGTATACTCTGGGGCAGTTCCACAGATTGATGGATGGAAAATGTGACCCCATTATTTAAAATAGGAGGGAGAGATAAAGCAGAATTACAGGCCAATTTACCTTACATTAGTAGTGAGGAAAATGCTGGAGTCTATTTTAAAAGACATGATGACAGAACACTTGGAAAGCATTATGGATGAGACAAGGGCAGCATGGATTTATGACAGACAAACCATGCTTATCTACTCTACTGGAGTGTTTTGAGCATGTATCCAGTAGAATAGGTAAGGGAGAACCAGTGGTTGTGGTGTATTTGGATTTCCAGAAGATACTTGGTAAGGGGCTTGTGGACAAAATTAAAGCATATTGCGGGCAGTGTCCTAGCATGGATTGAGAATTGGTTGGCAGAGAGGAAACATATTGGGAATAAATGTGTCTTTCTGGGTGGTAGGCAGTGATGAGTGGTGTACCACATCAGTGCTTGGGCCCCAGTTAGTTGTGTATATATCTCAATGCCATGCAACATTACCAAGTTTGCTGATGACACAAAACTAAATGGGATTATGAGTTGTGAGGAGGATGCAAGGAGGCTTTAGGACAATCAAGACAAGTTGGGTGTGTGGGCAATCATATGGCAGATGCCGAATCATGTGAATAAGTGTGAAATTATACACCTTGGTATGACAAACAGGAATGTAGGATATTACTTAAATGGTGTTATGTTGGGAAATGTGGATATGCAAAGGGATCTGAGTGTCCTTGTATATGTCCGTGCCAGTAAATAGAGGTAGGTGTGGCAAGCAATTAGGAAGACAAATCGTATATTGGCATTCATTGCAAAAGGCTTTGAGTTCAGAAGTAGGGTTGCTACACCTGGAAAATTATATGTAGTTTTGGTCTCCCTATTGAAGAGAGGATATAGTTACCACAGACGGAGTGCAACGAACGTTCACTATGTTGATACTGGGGATGGCAGGACTGTCACGTAAGGAGCAATTGGTTCAACCTGGGCCTGTATTTATGAGGGTTTTTAGAAGAATGAAAGCGGATCTAATTGAAACATACAAAATTCTAATTGAAACAGAAAAGACAGACTAGATGCAGTGAGGATGTTTCCCTGGTTGTGGAGCCTGGAACCAAGGACCCCAGTCTCAAGATACAAGGTAGATCATTTAGAACTGAGATGAAGAAACATTTCATTCAGAGGGTGGTCAACCTGTGGAATTTATGACTGTAGAAGGCTGGAGGCCGGGTATCGATACAGAATCACAGAATCTGAGTATATACATGGAATAGATTGATACATTTTTAGGTATTAAAGAGCTATGGAAAGAAAGCGGGAGTATGGCATTGAGATAGAAGATCTGCCATGATCAAATTGAATGACATAGCAGGCTTGAACGGCCAAATAGCCAACTCCTGAATTTCTATGTTTCTTGTCAGTCACCTGAGAGATTGCCACTAGAATTGGTGACAGGAAAATCTAAAGATTCCCATGCATGACGTTAATGAGTTGTAGCAATTGCCACCAAGTAGTTAAAAATAACAGTACTTTGATACAAGTAGGATTGACTTTTACCTGAAATATATGCAAAACTGTTGTTGTTGGCTGATGGTCACATGGTTGGCTTTTACATAAAGTGGACTTTTCCATGAGACCTTGGGTATGTATTTATTGTTTGACAAGATGTCTTGCTCTCCATATTTAAAATGCAATAAGTCAACAAACACACAAGGAAATTAAAGGGGGGAATATGTGTAAAGGTGGTAAGTAAGACATCATCGTTGTCTCAAAAAGAAAAAATCAAATCATTGATGATTTGGGCCATAACGATAGGAACACATCAACATCCTCTACAGTTTCCGCCCCACCACTGGCCAGTCTCATTTGGAGCTGCTGTAGTGAAGTGCAGCAGCATCTTCTCTAGTGGAATGAAGACATGCAACCACATCTTTTCCACACTGATTAGCTGTTATCAGCTGTCACTTCCTCTTAAAGTGTCTGGAGGGCCTCTTGGGGGAAGAGGACCTCTCCTCTAGTTACAATGAAGTCTGTCATGCTGCATTGGAGAATCTTGGAGAATGTTCTGTGCTGTTTTGCGTCACTTTCATTCTTCTACTTAAATTTGTCTCTGATCAGTTCCAGCACTTGCCACAGTCAGAATGCACCTCATCTTTAAGAGGTGCAATCTGGCTTTAAGTTGTATGATGACCTGCTCAGCTATTAAGATGCTGCCACCATAACACGGCCTCACCATTGGAGCACTCTGGACTTTGATTCCAGCGATCCGAGTTCAAATCTCAGTGGGACCTCTATTTGCTGTGTCCCAACGAGTTGTTGGGGCGGAGTATGCTTGTCCACTTCATCCGCTCTTCTTCCTCCTTTTCTTTTTTCTTCTTTTCTTGTTTTTTTTCAGTTTTTTTTTCTGATAACTTACCTCTGCAGAGAGGCAGCAGTGGCGGTATCGCTGGTGAAGCAGTCAGCTAGATGCCCAATGTGAGGCAGTGGCTGGAGACCTACTCCGGGACTCACGGTGTGTTCCCAATGCCTGGTGCACAGACGAAGATGAGACCGAGGCCCAGATGGCGTCTGGATCGGAACTTTGGTGGTCCAGGGTGTGGCAGTGATTGGAGGTTTGGATTGGGACTTTGGTGATCAGATCCTAGGAGCGAGCCCAATGTGGTGGTGGAGGTTCCCCTGACATCTGCAGCACCGATGAGAGCAGGGGAGATAGAGCCAGCATGGGGAAAGTGTGCCAGAGTTTTGGAGATCGAGCCCTTGTAGGAAGTGCAGTCCCACCATGGCTAAGCACTTAAGAAAGACTGCAATGGTTGAACCTTTAGCTTTATTCCTTTATTTTTTGACTTAATACTAAAAAGGACTTTAATGTTTAGCTTTTAACTTTATTTCTTTTGAAACACTATCTTACGAATGAGTTTAATGTTTAACTTTTAATTTGTTCCCTATTTCTTTCTACCTTTGTTTTTAGGTTTTTTTACCTCGTTACTTGTATCTAAGATGGCGCCGTGTGTGCCAACATTGAAAACTTTTCACTGTACTCCTGTACTTTTGTACTGAGTACACATGACAATGAAGTCTAAGTCTAAAATAAAATCTAAATCGCTGCTGATCGCAAAATGCTGCCTCAGGATCCTGCCACTTTTTGAGGAAGGGTTGGCCTTGTTCTGTGCTGTAATAATTACACTGACTTTATAACAAGAAAGATAGCTTTTTAAATTTATTTTAAATTCATGTTTTTATTTCACTAAAATTGGCAGGATTTGGGATTTTAGTTGCTTTTACATTTTAGCAATAAGGCAATAGTGAATTATTCAGTAACGTCATTAAAAAATGCAGGCTGCATTTAATGGGTTAATACATTTGGCAGAATGGGCATTCAGCCTGCTTCCCCCCCACCCTCCACGACTAGTTGCCCACCATCTAAGACTAGTGATATTGCATTTGGAAATGCTGCTCCTCAGAGGGAGGAAATCCCAAACTTCAGACCTACTAGCCAATCTGATTGGCCAGCAGCTCTTGCAGTCCCTGCTGTGTCAGAGCTTGCCAGTGAGTGCTGCCCGGACTGCATGCAAATCCATAGGGAAGGAAACCATGGATCATGTACCAAGGTAAATTAGAGGTATTAGGCAGGGAGGGATCAGGCACTTTAGACAGGGATGGGGGATAAGTTGGGTTTGCAGTACAGGTGGGGAAGAAATAATTGCAGTTCTGTATTCTGGGAACATTACATTGATGAAGAAAGGGCATCATAGGTAATTTACTCCCTTCCTACCTTTTTAAAAACATACAAAAAGGATAGGCTTACTCCTGCCTGCCTCTCTGAGCCAACAGTTTTATGGTGAGGATAGGGTAATATTGGGGACAATTGACCTTGTTAAAAGGTTAATTAACCCTTAATTGATTATTTAGATATAGTGGATGACTGTTGTCTTAGGCACATACCCACCCCTTCCATGTTATTGGGGTGAGCATCTTGTTGGGTGGCAATGTGGTGAGCTGGGCAACCTCCAAAAACATGCTTGGTGAGTGCATGTGATCATGTATCCCAGCTTGAGAGGCAGATTTTTTTTGTTAGGGTATTGTGCATTCATATTCTGTAATATTGTGGATGGATGTTTGTGGATTTAGCATGTGCGCTTTTCTAATGTGTGCTCCATGGCAGATTAAAAGATAGTTTCTGATGGGTTTCCTTATGAAATTCAATTGTTACTTTCAAGCTGGATCTGTCCATTGCTGATTTGTTAGGTAATGATGCTCTTACTTCTTGCAGCTCTCAACAAGTGTTGCTTCAAGTAAAGTTATTAGAAAATGAACTGGAGGATTTGAAGTCCATTGTAAAGAACTTGGAGGACAGAAATTATAAGTTGCAGATTCATAACAGACAACTGGTATGTATCTATGAACACAATTGGGTCAAGGTTGTTTATTTTTTAACATTTAAGGTTAGGTTATGGAGTGATTGTAACAATGTCAGTCAGGTGGACGTCATAGAATGTGAGTCCCCCGATTGGCGCTGTTAACCTAGTCCAATCAGGGAACCCTGGCTGACAGATATAAACTGGAGTGTCAGAGGCTCTACTTTCTCTGAGAGTTGGCTCTGAGGAAGCCAGGCCAGTGTCAAGTACTATGCACGTGTAAATAAAGGGTGACTTGGTGGCAGGATACCAGCCTCTGTGCAGTTATTTCAGTGGTGACGAGAGTGGGACAGTATGCCCCTAAAAAAAAGTGAACAGGAGTGTCAGAGGCACTGCTCTCTCTGAGAGTTGGCTCTAAGAAAGCCAGGCCAGTGTCAAGTATTTATGTATAAATGTATAAATAAACATTTATAAATAAAGGGTGAATTGGTGACGTGATACCGGCTTCTGTGACAACTTCAGTGGCAACGAGAGAATAAAAATATGCTCCTGAAGAAATTTGCTCACTACAGTCATCTTTGAGTTGGGGTAAGCATTTCTAGCATCATGACATTATTTGGGAAGCTTGACTCATTCAATCCTGCTGTTGAAGACGGGGCCCATTATGTGGAAAGAGTGCATTATTTTTTCTGGCAAATGACATTAGGGCAGATGAAAAGCAACGGGTAATTTTGTGGACCTGCAGCTTTTTTAGTTGTTAGGAGTCTAATGTTTCCTGAGGCATCAGGTACCAAAATCTTTCAAGAGTTGATGGATTTTGTTAAGGAATATTACAACCCCAAGACTCTAATTCCGAGATGCAAATCAGTTTTACTTGGCAGTTTGAGAACCGGGGAATCCATGTCGGTATTTTTGACTAGGTTAAGATAACTGGCAGAGACATGTGACTTTGCTTTAACCCTTACTGAGATGCTGAGAGACCATTTGGTATGTGGGATTGATGATGTAAACATGCAAAAAAGCCTACGAGCTGAAGTCCAATTGGACTTCCAACAGGCAGTACAATTGGCTTTATCATTGCAAAATGCAGCAAGTGGAGCATTTGAGTTACAGGATATGCCAAAGGAAGTGGACACCTTTGTATGGTTGACTGACCTTGGGGAACACCACTTGAGCGAAGGCCATTACAGAACCTTACTCATGACATATCCTGAACATAGGGACTGTTGGTCAGCATACAGCAAAACCCCACAACAAAGCCAACCCTCGGCCAAACGGTTAACATTTTCTTCAGGATCCAGGCCAGCAAGCCATTGTAGTTGCTGCTGGTATGTTGACACGACACAGCAAAAGAGTCGCGTATGTCCTGTATTGAGTAAGAGAACTCAGGCCGGTATCCAGGAGAATGCACACACTGGAAAACCCAACTACGTCTGGCTTGGAACAGTTAAATGGCTTAGCAACATACAAATAAGAACCAATCAAAATAAATGTCTGGTTAAATGGTCACCTGGGTTTAATGGAGGTTGATACTGGCGTGGCTGTATAAGTGATTGCAGAACCAGCCTTTAACAAAGACTCCAACCCTTAAGTTAGTGTAAGACCTTAGCTAGATTGAGAACCTACACTGGGGAACCTTTACAGATTAAAGGTGTCATATGAGAAGAGGCTGGTTTAGTAACCACTGATTGTAGTAAAAGCCTTGGGCCCAAGCGTGATCTGGTAAAATTGGTTGAGAAAGATTCACCTCCACTGGCTTGATGTTTTTCAATTAGAAAATGGCTACCTGAGTGAAGTCTTAATTAAGTACCTGGAGGTACTTCAGGACGGTCTAGGAACTATCAAGGGAGCCAAGGCCACCTTATATGTTGACCAGGAAGCAATTCCATGACTCTGCAAGGCTCGCCCAGTGCTATTTGCCTTATGTGCAAAAGTAGAGGCAGAAATTAGGAGGCTGGAAAGCGAAGGAATCATCAAACTAATACAGTTTGTAGAATAGGCAGTAGCGGTCATAACAATTGTGAACCCCGACGGGTGGGTTTGTCTTTCTGGGAATTCTAAACAAACGGTAAAATGTTTCTTGCCAGTGGATAAATACCCCATCCTTTGCATAGAGAACTTACGTGGCATTTCTGGCAGGGGTGGGTGGCTCTCCTTCACGAAGCTGGACATGAACCATGTGTATCTGAAGTTGTGGTTAGATGAGGATTCTTAGAAGTATGCTACAAGTAATACCCATATGGTTTGAACCAATGTATGAGACTGCCATTTGGGGTATCTTCAGCTGGTGCCATTTTTCAGTGGAGAACATTTTACAAGATCTACCCCAGGTTGCCATTCATCTAAATGACTTGCTGTTAACAGGGAAGACCAATAAAGAGCACTTAGCAACATTAGACATAGTCCTTAGATGTTTCTCAAAGGTGGGTGTATGCCTTGGGAGGGAAAAAATGTGTGTTCCAGGCATCCAAGTGACCTACTTGGGCTACAAAGTTAAAAAGACTGGGTTACACCTGTTGGAAGATAAAGTAAGGGCGCTCAAAAGTGCCCTGGCTCCCGCATCTGTACCAGAGCTTAGGACTTTCCTTGGGTTGGTGAATTATTACGGAATGTTCATATGTAACCTAGCCTCCATCACCCTTATATCTGCTATTGAAAAAGGGTCAGCCTTGGAAATGGTCTCTTAGCCATAGCCTTTAGGGAAGTGAAGAAACAGCTATCATCATCTAAGGTGTTGGCACATATGATCCCAAGTGAGATGTAGTGCTGACATGCGATGCCTCTCTGTATGGTATCGGGTTAATGTTGGCTCACGGATGGTCCAATGGCGAAGAAGAGCCAATAGTGTATGCTTCCCAGACATTGGCTGATGCAAATCGCAAACATGCTCAGGTAGAGGAGGAAGGTTTGGCGGTCATCTTTGGTATGAGAAAGATCCACCAACACCTTTAAGGATGTAAATTTGTAATAGTAACAGAACACAAACCCCTACTAGGGCCACTTAAAGAGGACAAGGTGGTGCCACCCATAGCTTCAGGTCGAATTCATCAGTAAACTCTCCTTCTAAGTACGTACAGTTACAAGTTGGAACACCATCTGGAAGGCCAAGTACCAAATGCGGATGCTTTGAACCGCCTCCCACTGGCAGATACACCACTGGTGGTGCTGCCACCCGAAGAATCTGTTCTGGTTTTAAAATTTCTGGACATCCTTCTAGTCACTGCTGACAATATCAGACTGTGGACATAAAACGATCTGGTCCTGGCAAAACTAAAACAGCTGGTGGCAATGTGGGAAACAAAGGACCATCACAACCACAATTGAAACCTTTCTGGAAAAGGCGAGACAAGGTCACTGTGGAGGATAGCATTTTATTATAGGGAGCAAGAGTGATTGTCCCGAGTAAAGGTTGCTGCCACTGGCTGAACTTCACCAGGGTCATCCAGGGGTTTCCAAAATATAGATGTTGGCAATAAATTACATCTGGTGGCCAGGATTGGATTCAGACATAGCTACGTTGGTAGGGCAGTGTCCAGAGTGTCAACAGGGCAAAAGTTACCGCTGACAGCTCCCCCACATTTGTGGGAATGGCCCAGTAAACCCTGGACTTGGTTACACATTGACTGTGCCAGCCCTTCCATGGGCTCAATGTTCTTAGTCATTGTGGACACCCACTCAAAGTGGTTGGATGGCCACTTCAGGAACTTTTCACTTCACTTTAGGAAATTCGAGTATTTCCTAAAATTGAATGGCATTCAACATTAAGGACAGCTCCATCTCATCCATCGTCCAGTGGTCTCGTGGAAAGAGCAGTCCAGGCTTTGAAGGCAGGCTGAAAGAAACAGCCTACAGCTTCACTCGCTACCAAACTGTCCTGGTTCCTATTTGATTATTGGAGCACCCTTCACGTAACTATATGGATAGCTCAAGCCAAGTTGCTAATGAGGAGAAGTCTCCGTACCAGGTTAAATCTGATCTTCCTGGACCTGGCAGGGAGGTAGGTGAAAGGGTGGCAGGAACGCTAATGCTGGATGCAAGACTCCTCGAAGAGAGACAGTTTACTTAAGGAGACGAAGTTTGGTGCTGAAACCACAGAAGTGGATGAGTAAGAGTCTTGGTGGATGCGAGGTCAGTTGTTGTGATGTGCAAAGTCTGCATAGATGAGGCGGTCCTGAACAAGCACGTGGACCATGTGAAAACTGCAAACATGGAAATGGGATGGGCGCAAAACATACCTGGTCCCTCAGAACAGCTGGAAACACTGTTAGAACCCATGGGTTCTTCCCTTCTGCCTAGCATTGAAGAAACCTTGGAGTCTGAGATAGACACAGCAGATGTTGCAACCTCAATGTTTTTACCGCCTGAAGAAGAAGATGAATTTCTTCTGAGAGGCTCTGGAAGTAAAAGGCAGGCTACGGTATGGCACATGCCACCTGTATCCGAGGCTGAGTTGGAGGAACCTGACCCAGGGCGAAAGCACCCCAGGAGAGGCTACAAGAAAAAGAAGCAGCCTATGTCCCCAGACTTAGAGGGGGATAGATTTAGCGATTGTAACAAGGTCAGCAAGGCGGACCTTTATAGTATATGAGTTCCCTGATTGGGGCTGTTTACCTGGTCCAATCAGGGAGACCTGGCTGACAGACATAAATAGGAGAGTCAGGGGTTCTGCTGTTTCTGAGAGCTGGCTCTGAGGAAGCTGGACCAGTGTCAAATACTTTGCATGTGTAAATAAAGGGTGACTTGGTGATGGAATACTGACCTCTGTGCAGTTACTTCAGGTTACTTTTAAAGTTCTTATCTGAATTAACTTCATTTGCAGCTCATCAAAAACTAATTCCTTCTCTTTTCCACACTGAATAAGAGAATATGTTACTGCAGATAACAATTATTCTTTATATATGAGCCTTGGTAGTGAATGTCAATATTTTCCAACCAGCCTATTCGGAGGTGTTATTATACACCGCTGGTAACACCTCTGAAACAAGTGGGATTGGAACCTAGGTCTTCCGATTCAAAGGTAAGGATAGTACCAT